GAAGCAAAAGCAACTGCTTTCACTTAGTTTTTTCTCCCACAGTGTCCTACTTTATCTGACGCCAGCGATGTTCACAAACCCAGTCGTTGCCACAGGTAGTGTCCTCATTGATTGTCACAGGCTTTATTGAGCCATCCGAGTTACTTGGGGGTCCAACCCAGTCATTGATGTCCTGTAATTCAGAAGTTTATAACTTCTTACTGAAAATGCAGAGAGCCTCTTGGGAGAGAAAAGCTAGATGGAGCATCAAATTTTCACCAGCTAGATCCAACATGGCCCAGTGAAATCCCTTAACACACTGAAATGCGCTGGACTACTTCTAGGGCCCTGCTCTGGGCCTTATCCACCACAAATGCATCGTCAGCATTGCAGGCTTACCTTTCCATCAACAAAATATCTTGGCCAGCGGAAACTTGACATCACACGTGTGAACCCATACGGATGGGCCAGCATGAAACCAACTGCCATTTTATAGAGCCTGTTGGTGGACAAAGCAAGTCATGAGACGTGCAAAGAGAAACATAGAAAAAAAAACAAACAGACAACACTGAGCTCTTACCCCCAAACCCACAAACTCAAAATAACACAACCAACGGCCACAAACCCACGCGGGGCCACAGGAAGGGCCACAAAGAACAGGCACAGGCCAGAAGGAACAAACCCACAGACTTCGCCCCACAACCCAGCCAAAAACACAAAGAAATGCAGAAACCCAGAAAACCGTACTAAAAAGGCAAACACACACAAACAACAGAAAAGCCAGACGGACCATAAAAAGGCCACCAGCTAGACCCAACACGGCCCAATGAAAGCCCCCAACACACCAAAATACGCGAAACCACTCACACGGCCATGCCCAAAGCACTAGCCACCACAAATACACCCTCAACACAACACAATTACCTGGCAAACAAAAAAAAAACTACGCCAGCCGAAACAAAAAACAAAAAAGGAAAACCCATACCCATGAACAAGCATGAAAACAACAGCCAATACACAAACCAAGTAGATGGACAAACCAACCCACAAAACGGGCAAAAAAAAAAATAGACAAAACAACACCAACACAACAGTGAACTCGTACCCCACATCCAACAAAGGCAGAATAACACAGACACAGCACCAATACCCAAGCAAGGCGTCAGCAGTATCAACAAAAAACAGAGCTCAGTCACAAAGCACAAAGCCCCAACCAGCTCCCCAGCCCCAAGCCAAAAACAAAAAAAACACGAGTTAACCAGTCAACCGAGGGATCCAAGGTACCACAGAGAAACAACAAAACCTCCAGACCAACTTTAGCTACGCCAGACTGAAACCAGCAAACACCCGCATCACAGGCCCCAGCCGGACACAGTATTCAAACACAAACAACAAACCAAGAACAAAAAACAACACGACTGAGAGAAGCGCAAAACAAAAGTCAAGAACCTAGAAAACAAAGAAAAATCCGGCCACAAGTTATTATCCAAAAGAGAAAAAAAAGGAAGTGAAAACAGTTCAACATAAACCAACACATTACATACACAAAAAACAACGCAAGAAAGTGTATCTCAAGTGAAAAAACCAAGCCAAAATCACAAAAAAACAAAAACAACTCAAAAACACGACACAACAAAGAAACTGTAAAGGCAAATGACAGAGTGGCAAAGAGGCAGATTAAAAAAGCAAAATGACTTATACAAACAGCAAAGCTCAAAAAAACCTCGGTCCAGGCAAACAAAAAGGAACACGCACTGCAGGAACGAGGAAAGACGAAGCCAAAAAAAAAACAAAAGACAAAAACAAAAATAAAGAAAAAAAAAAAAGATTACCTCCTGGAAAATGAAAGGTTTAGTTCCTTCAGGAAACCACGTAGTATTTAAATCTTTCAGCTTGTCCAAAAACGCCCTAACATCCCCAGGCCACATGTGCTTGGCAGCATCAATTCGGAAGCCTGCTACACCAATGTCAATGAGATGGTTCATGTACTCAGCCACCTTCGAGCGCACGTAGTCCTTCCCCAGGGCCAGATCCAGAAGGCTGACCAAGCGGCAGTCCCGGACCTGGGCAAAAATTCTGAAATGAAGCATTTTTCCCCTAATAAACTAAACATAGTGTTCTGCCTACATTTTGAATTTTCTTGCCTATGTTACAATGCCAAATAAAGCATTCACTAGCCTTTGTAAACCAACCATATCTTTGCCTTGGACGGGTACCTTGGACAGTCATCTACACAGACGGAGCATTAAGAAATCTGCATTTACCCAATTTACACATTTGCAGGTGCTGAAGGATTAGATTATATTATATTACATTTATAATCAGCTTTTTAAATGCAAGTATAAGGCATTTTACTCAGTACAATAATTTCTTCTCTGATATATGAAAGATTTCTAGAAATTATATTCCTAAATATTTTCAAAATCTCAAGTTACTTTAGCCTTCTAAAACATTAAACTGTAATTTCCTGTAAATACAAAATGATGGGCACTGATTTTCATCAAAAGAATACTTTAAACAGACACTGAATATACTGAGATGCTTTTTCTAAGAACACTCATTATGGGTTTCCATGGCTATGCACATCTTCCTGGAAAGAGCAAGGTGCATTAGTCTATCTTGCAAACTGAACTAAAGAACAGTTCCTTTAGAACTTCTTCTGTCATTTCTCCAAAACCCCTTTCCCCTCAACTTAGATTCAGGAAAGATCAAAGGCATTTGAAAGGCATAAGACATTATTCAAGAAAAGTAGGTATTTATTTTTAGAAGATAATTTTTTATTCTTTGGTAGTTATAAAGTCCTGACCTCAAAATCTAACACAGAGGAATAGATACACTCCTAGGAAATATCTGAACAGAACGTCAATTTTCAAGATTTTGGCATTACTATTTTCCTTAAAAAAATCCTAATCTCTCTTTTCTGAAATTGAGACCAAAGAAAACTTCCAATTACAATAAAAGGCAAAAAATAACTCTTACTTTTTTTTAAACACAAAACTCCCACACAAGGTAATTGCTAAATAGATTTTATGAGCTTTAAATTGTCTTTATAAAGTACCTAAGCATATTTGTCTAAATCTGAAACCAAGCCATTGTCTCAAATAGAGCTATCCCTTTAAGAAGTGGTGTTCCTGATAGCAACACTAACATCTATTATTAATTTGGATGGTTTTCTATGAGGCATTTTGTTTTAAAAAATGTCTGACTGTAAATGAGAGCAGAGAAACCACAGCACAGGAACAGACGTACATTAAAATCATAGTTCTAGGTTTACCTGAGATATATCATGATAATTCTCAATGTCTCCACTTCTAGATTTACATTTACCATCATTAAAGTCCCAGCCAGAATATGGCACAGCTGGAAAATCTTCAGTCTTTGCATTGAAATAGCTTCCACAAGTGGCATGGTCACCAGCACCAGCATTAGCTCCACACATATGGTTGATTACTGCATCCACATAAATATATACCTAGAGAATAATATTCACATAACAATTTGAGAAAGCTACTTCCCACAGCATAACTAATTAATGTTCTCTCTCCCATACCTCCTGCCTCATCCCCCTAAATATGCTTGATTGCTTCACCCAATATTTTATTCAAATTATTTTTCTTTTATTAGCATACAGCAATGGTGATACAGCATGCAGCCCTACAAACAAGCAGATAACATTGCATTCATTTTTTAAAATGGTAGAAAGGAGGATCCTGGAAACTTCTGACCTGTCAGTGTCACCTCTGTGTCTGGGAAGATCATGGAACAGATCAGAAAATCATAGAATGGTTTGGGTTGGAAGGGACCTAAAAATCACCTAGTTCCAACCCCTTGGCCATGTGCAGGTAGACCTTCCACTAGATCGGGGTGCTCAGAGGCCCATCCAGCCTGGATCCTCCTAGAAACTGTGCTAAAGCACGTGAAGGACAAGAAGGTGATTTAAGACAAGGAGCACAGCTTCACCCAAGTCCTGTCTGAGTAACCTAGTGGCCTTCTATGATGGAGTGACTGCATCAGTGGACAAGGCAAGGGTTACAGATGTCATTAATCTGTACTTCTGTAAGGCCATTGACACCATCTCCCGCAACATCCTTCTCTCCAGATTGAAGAGATTGAATTTGATGGGTGGGCTGTTCAGTGGATGAGGAATTGGTTGGATGGTCATATCCAGAGGGTAGTGGCCAACAGCTCAGAGTGTCAGTGGAAATCAGTGACATGTGGTGTCCCTCAGGAATCCATACTGGGACCAGTGTTATTTAGTGTCTTCATCAATGACACACATGAAGGGATCGAGTGCACCCTCAGCAAGTCTGCAGATGACACCAAGTTGACACACCTGAGGGATGAGATGCCATTCAGAGGGACCTGGACAAACTTTAGAAGTGGGGTCATGGGGACTCTCATGAGGTTCAGCAAGGCCAAGGGCAAGTCTAGACTAAATATAGGAAGCTTTTTCACAATGAGGGTGGTAAAACACTGGCACAGGTTGCCCAAAGAGGCGGTAGATTCCCCATCGCTGGAAACATTCAAGGTCAGATTGAATGGGGCTCTGAGGAACCTGATCTAGTTGACGATGTCCCTGCTTATTGCAGGGGGGTTGGACTAGGATGACCTTTTAAGGTCCCTTCCAAACAAAACTATTCCACAAAAAACCCCACCATCTTCACTCCAGTGCTACCATGTCTTCCCTTCCAAATTACTGCTTGTCTATATCCTTGCATTGTTAACACCAGAAGGTTTTCAAAGCACTTACTCCAACATTGTTGCACCTGGTCACCATGTCTCTAAATTCAGTTTCATTTCCAGATCGTGTGCACAGCTTGTAGCTGACAGGTTGGTATCTTTCCCACCATGGCTGCTTGGGGTCAGTAACAATAACATTTTCATTTGGAGGTGAAATCTGTGAATAAAACAATGGCACTTGGTAACAGGATACTGATAGTGGTTAATTTGTTTGCCCATGTTAGAGAAAGAACATAACCCATATAGATACTCAGTATCCTCTGCTTACACTGAAAATAAAAGACTTAGGCCTGGCTTTCAGCAGGTAGAAAAATACTATAAAAATTAGGTCCATGGACATAGTGTCCTAATAGCTTTTGTTACTGCAGGTCTCAAAGATTAAAAAAAAAAATATCTGAAATCAAAGAATTAGGTCAGCAGATATAGGATCAGGAAGGAACTGACTGCATAACAACTGATGTAACATCCTGCTCTTAAAACTGATCCAACTTCCCATTTTTGTAATGTTTTGGATAAAAGCATTCTTGATGTAATTTTTGAAAGTTTCCAGGTGAGTTATACCTCTTCCAAAATTTTGCAGACTCTCTTCAGGATACTTTTTAGGCAACAAGCTTTTGCTGCTACCTCCAAGTCCTCTGAGCACAACCACTTGATCCCACCACTTTTCAAAAAGATCCCTAGGCTGCAGCCTACTTAGCTGCCACAGCTTTGTGACCATCTCAGCAAGCCATCATCTGAAAATCTTTCTTTCTGAGACACTGTCAAAGAATGGCTTAAAAAGATATATAGGCATATACCACAGTCTGAAAAATCAGTTTAAAAATCAATCAGGTCTGTGTGTCTGGAAAGAAGATTGCAAAGAAAAGCTGTTATTATTCGAATATTACGGGAGAGTTCTTAGTCAGGCCAGCTTGCAAACTTCTGGGCTACAAGAGACAGGTAGGCTTCTCACCAATTTTTCCTGAGCAATCTGACATGCAAACTGAAATAGCTTAATAAGTGTCAGCTCTCCAGCCACACTACACCACCCATCTGACAGTACTGGTTCTACAGGAACATGTCTCTGTTGTTCAGACAGAACAGACTCACATAGGCACACCCCCACCAGAACCTGTGTTCAGTTCATTTCTGCCTGCTCACACCAGGTTCCTACAAAGAAGGGTCTCTTAATGGCTTACTGTGACACTTCGCTTAACAGAGAGAAACTTGCCAGTTTGGGGGAACACAAATAGCAGCCTTTCATACTTAATTATTTAAACCTTCAGCACTTTGCTATTCTGAGAGCCATTTTTTCAGTCATAGTTCTATTTTATGTTTATCTAGCTCTTAAGAGCTTCCCTCGATTTAAATAATATCAAGCAGATAAACATAGGTTACTCTTCACAGCAGTAAAAAAAAAAAAAGATTTAGCCAACAATATGCAATTCTAATTCATCTAAATGTAATAGCACAGAATGCAAAATGTGCACTTTGGAACAATGAAATAAAGTCATGCTTTCTCAATGATAGCTGAAGAATATATCTGTCAGCATTTACTACTTCCATTACCAATTTCTATTTTTCTTTCTCACTACCTGTCCTTTGAACATTTTGAACAAAATTGAACATTTTCTCTGAAAAACAAATTATCATCCATGTAGCAATTTTACTACCTACTGATAGGAACAGACATACCTGAACTCCTCCAAATCCATTAGGAGCTAAATAGCGTTCACACTCCAGGGCAATATCCTCCCAGCGCCATTCAAAGAGATGCACAATAGATGTCCTCTTAGAGAGGATGTGGGGGTTGTACTGCCCCCAGCAAAACCCTACAATTAACAGAAGAAAATAGATACCCATCCTGTGCTCTGTGATCAGCTGTGCTCTTCCTATTACCTATTTATGTTCCTGCAAGAGGGTAAAGTACACATTAGAAAATACACATTTAAAAGTAAATGCCCACCTCTGGCACTATATTTAACTTGATTGTCATTTTGTATGAGAACTGGATTCTATCTATGCTATATCAACCTCCCATTCTTACAGTAACTTTGTTTTCCTGAAGTTACAACTAAGATGTTGATAGGCTGTCTCCCGTAAGTTGTATTTTTATTAGTATAAAGCCAAAAATGACCCCAAAAGGCAAAAGAGTTGTTATATAAATTAAAATGGATATTTTGTTTCTCATTTTAATCCCTAATATTTTACATTCCTATTTATCCTTGAGAGGCATCTTTTTTTCAAAATGGCATTACTATGACTTGCCCATATTTAGACAAGACCTTGGAGAAGCAGAATATTTCTTATTGTGAGTTGTCACAAACCCCCACATATTTTGGAGGTCTAACATGGGTGTCTGTCATTCATGATATTCATGACACCTGCCATCCAAGCAACTACCCTAACCATGGAAGATCTCTCAGACACAGAAATTATTATAGCGACTCAAAACCAGAAATGCTCATGTCTAATCTCTGTACATTTGTACAATTTCTGTGGAGATACTGTCCTCCCAAAGGACACAAGGCAATGGCAGACATTAGAAGTGCTGTGAAGCTCCATAATCAAGAAATCTTCTCAGGGCCAAGGTACAGAGTTCTGCATACGAAGGAGCTTTCCAGAGGAGGAAAATCAGCTGGATTACCTTCTGATGAGATAGGCTAGGAACTCTGTTTCCCAATTCATATCCTATTTGTATTTACCTGTGGACAAACACAGAAGACAAGCTTTATATTTAAATTGCCTCTCCTTTTTCTCACCTAAAGAGATACAGTCTGTAACAAACCAGAAGTTAAACAACTATCAAGGTTTGCATTACTCTATTTAGAATCTTGTTTCACACTCTTCATGTTTAGAAGTTGATTGTTACTTTCCTCTTAGGAGTTGTTTATTATAAAAAGCTACCTTAACACAGAAACAACACAGGGCAAAGAGGGAATAGGGAGATTCCTAGGTGTTGTTATAGGGAACACCAAACACTTCACAGAAGGTTTAAACATGAACACAAGGGCCTTCAAGGTTTGCTGCATGAAGGAAATCAGTGCCTTTCCTGATTTAATACACATTTGCGAATGCACTGCTGAAAACTCCAACCTGCTATGATACAGATACCCAGGCCAAAGTTTATATCAAATCTTCCACGACTTCCACAAAACGATCCTCAATTTTGTTTCAAGGAAATGATAATTCATATCCATTGGGCAGTAGAGCTGCACTCTTTGGAGCAAATTCAAGCACAAAATACACCAGTTTATATATAGTACAGAATCTGCTTTCCAGAGCCTGTTGCTATCAGTTGTCACTATTCTTCACAAGCAGATAGAGTTATTTAGAATCAATAGCTTGGTATATTTAGCTTGCTTTTCTTCTTGTGAACAAAATAATTTTAATGAAATTATTTCCTTGTAGATCTTTGGTAAAGTATACAGATAAATTTCAGCCACTAGCAGTTGTTGCGTGCATCCATTTTCATGAAAAAATGCTTCTTTGCCCTGATAGGAAGAACATACATTAACAGAAAACGAGCTAAGAAGGTTTGATTTTCTCTGATGAGAGAAGCCATTTATCAGACTGGCAAATTTTACTTACAGCAGTAAGTACATAAAGCATTAAATTACACAAAGCAGTAAGACTAATGTACTTTGACCCAACCAGTTCCAAGGCCTGACGCTTGAAGACCCAATGTTGTTTTTCATTTCTTTGAAATAGATACATGGTTGTTCTAACTTCAGTACAAGTAATGATAAGACAATGAGGATGTTGAAATCCCCACCACATTCTGACAGCTCTGGCTTCACAACGCTTTTGAAACTTAAAAACTAATAGGCCTGTATTCACCTATGGAAGAGAGCACAACTGACTGGACTTCAGAGAACATGCGAGAAAACTGTCTCTGAAGAGCACTATTGCTGTCTTGGACAGCATGAGATCTCAGGTCACCTTGTCTTCTGGGTTAGTCTGTGCTGTGAAGCTCAGCTGCTATCTCCAACACACCAGCAGCAGCATTTACATTTGCGAGAGGTCTGACGCAGGCCTGTTGAAGCTGTTACAGGACAGCAAAGCAGTGTCCCTGTCACTTCGAGTGGCTCCCCACAGGACTCCCCTCACCAGCTCGGTGTTTCGCACAGGCGAACCAAACCCCGCTTCGGCCGCTCCCTCCAGGGCCCGGCAGGGGCAGCGCCGCCGGCCGCGAGAGCGCCGGGCCGGGTCAACTTACTCCCCGAGCTCCCCCGGCCGCGCACACCCCGAGAGCAGCGGCGGAGCCCCGGCACCCCGTACGTACGTGCTGGGCCGGCCCAGTCCCGCACCCACCGCCCACCCGCAGCCCCGCCCCTTCCGCCGGGACCGAGCCGGGCACCGCACAACTGCGCCAGAGCCCCGGGGGAGAGCCGAGCCCGCCTCTGTATACCGTCTGTGCTGGGGATCGCTATTTGGGATTTCGTTTGTTTGCTTTTCTTTCCCCTGGAATGCTAGTTTTGTTGGCCACTGGTTTCCTAAAGTAGCTTGCCTTGCTACTGTTCCTGTTGTAGGCCAAACACTGCAGCTCCTACCCGAACTAGCAGCTTCTGGCAGAAGGTTATATATAGACATGTTATATATAGACGACCAAATACAACTGTTTACTTTAGTTGTGGTTTTGTCCATTCTCAGAGAAAAGAAACATTTTTCTATGACTAACTCCATTAGTTACTTTGTATGTCAAAGCCACTCTAGCAACACTAAAGTAGAAAATATCTAAAAGTTTTATATTACACATGATGATGTCGATTCAATATAAGATTACAGTCTGGAACATATTCTTGAGATTTGGGAAAGGAAGGCTCTAGGGATATACAGTTATTGCATGCCTTAAAAAAGTATTTTTGTCCTTGAGCACAGCACCACCTTGCTGTTACCCTACTTCACTGCTTTGAAAACTCACTTGCTGGCCTTTTATGCACTATTTTAATAACTTGCTCCTGTACTTGTAGCTCAACACGGGTGTCAGGACACACTATCATAGAACCATAGAAACAAAGCCCCAAATACAAACCATCAGCAGAAATAGGTATACAAAAACCCAGCTGACTTAAAGGAATGAAAGTTTTTCCTCCTGACTTCCAAAAAAATATTCTCTCAACAAGACTGCAAAAGTTTCCTTGATAGTTTATGAGTGTAAGATGGTGGACATCATGTTTAATTTGTATTTTACTTTAATAATTAAAACCCCATCAAAAATACAGCTTCGCTTTATTCATAATGGAATGGCCACAGAACACACACAAAAAAATTAAGCTACTTTTTTCTCACTTCTAAGCATCATAAATCCTTCAGCCACTCTCATAAAACTTCTCTCAGTATATTTTTCCTGGTCTACAAGTCCAAAAACAAGTAAGATAAACTAACAAACAACTACACAGTCCACATGGGAATGCAACAAATAAGCTAAAAAAGAATTCCAGTAAAAGCATTTTATAGTAATATGATAAGCCAATTCATATGGAAAGAACCAGCAAAGATACACTTACTTTGGTCCAGCCATCATAACTAGTGATTTGGACTGCCTGCAGCTGAAATGATGACAAAATAAATCTTTTACACGAGCCAGTTACTAGACCATCAACCATGACTTAGTATTTTATGGAATAACTTTAAGTCCACTAGACTGGACTCCCTACTGCCAAGTAAACATCATTTCAATGTTTCCCACATGGTTTTAGACAGTTACAGTAATCTGCGAAATATGTAAGAAATCCTGCTATGTGACCTCCATAGCATTTATTGTTATTAATCAGAGTTCAACAGGGCATTTACATAGGTTTAACACTGCTTTAACTGCTACTGTTGTTTTAATGACTTCAGTCTGACTACTGACATTTTTCAAGATGCAGGTGAACAATGGAAGTTAATTACTGAGTAAAACAGTGCCTAATTTCACAGTACAAATTCATGTCGGTGCACTAGTCCTCCTGCTGGTTCCAAGACAGGAAAAAGATCCGTCCCAACTCAAAAACCCCACAATAAAAGCCAAAATGAAGAGAGAAAGGCAAAACAAAGAGAAAGGAAATAATTTATTAGATTTCACAAGAAAACTAACATACATTTCTCATATAAGTCTTGTGACACTTTAAAGATGTGGAATCTTTTAGACGAGAAAATTTATAGTCTGCCAATTTATAGTCTGCCTTAAATACTTTAGAAACGCTACTACGCACAGTTCAAGAGTCCTGACGATTACACTGCTTCTTCCCCCAGCTTGATAATACTTGAAAGAGATGGAACACAAAAGGGACCTGGAACATCACAAAGGCATGTTAAAAGTAAGAACAACCAGAAAACAGCACTGTTATACTTTGTTTTGACAACTAAACTGAAAGATGTTAAAGTATTTTAAGAAGTGCTTAATGTCTGAAAAAAATATGACTTAATAGATGCAGGCTGTATTAATTTTAAATTACAGAAAGTTAAATAGTAATGTAGTATGAAACCCACAAGAAAATGAAGTCACTGGCAACAACACTACCTCAATGCAGAGAACAATCTAAAAAAAAAAAAACACCAACAAAAAGGTAGCAGTGATTAATAGTTGAGTATTAGTTCAAATACTTCATTGCAAGTTATTATTAATTTTTTCTTTACTCAAAAAAGACATAGTAAGGAATGTATAAACTGAATCAACTACAGATTGTTTCTCATATACCAGGATAACAGTAATCATCAAATGATCTAAATACCTGTCAACCCCTTAATATTAGGAATTGCTCTGCAACATATTTTAGCCAACATATTAATATAATAATATTTATTTAAAGAAAAACAAAGTGACACCCTCAGTGTGAGCTCAGCACAGCTCCACATACATCAGCTTGTTTGAGCTAGAACTGTTTCACTAAGGAATGGGACCACAAATTAGTAAGGTATATGACCTTTGAGGAAAAAGGTGGAGGCCACCTTTTAAGACTAAGAACCTTTAATGTGTCTATTCACACAATACAGAAAACTCATTGATTTCTTTTTTCCCCCTGAAAAAGCATCTTTTGCTTTTCAAAATTACCAGATTAGCTCAAGCTTTAAACATGTAAACTCCTCCCCACACCTACTCTATATGAAAAGTTAGATGTAGTTGAGTGCTATGGGAAACATTGCACAAAAAAAGGATACAACAAGAAAGGATACACTCTGCATGACAGTATTACTGCAGTATTTACGCAGGAATGTTTCTAAAGAAGAACAGCAGAATGTGGTTTAATTTTACTTGATTCTCAGTATTGCAGACACATAACTTTATGCTACCTATCAAAAGCAAATATGCTTGTTTGATAAAATACAGTTCTGACACCTTATGAGATTTAATGAGGGCTGATGGATCCACCAACACTAAACTCCATATTCAAAAGTAAATACATTTTTTGTAACTGGAACTACTAGGATACCACCAGATTTTTCTGTTTCATAATTCTCCTTCAAGTCTTTGCCATCTCACAGATTCACTTTTTTTTTTCTCCATCAGGTCCAAAACCCAATCACATTTCCATTTAATGCTGGCTTTCAAGTCACTTCTTCCTAAGAAGAAGCTGGAGAAGTCTCAGCATCAGATTCTTCTACATAACCTTTCTCCCAAAAAGTTGTATTTTAGCTACAGGAAAAACAGTCACCCCAAATACTAACTGAACTTTCTGCCAGTCAATCAAGAAAGATATTTCAGCCAGCGAGGAGTTACATAGTATTTTTATAAACCATAGGTATTATCTTCTCCACAAAGGATAAAATCTCTATAGAGGAAATTTTAAAAACCCCAAACAAACAAAAAACCCCATGAAACACAAAACCATAAATCAGCATCCACCATAATGTTCCAGTAGGAAAAGGAAAACATAGTCAAACAGAAATAGGGTTCCATTTCATCATTAGCTGGGAAATCAAACAAATGTTTTCAACTAAACCTCATGGATCCTTACAAATCTGTATCATTCTAAACATTCTGTGATTGCTATGTACAAACAGTCAAGCTAAGGGAGCAGTTCTGCCCATGGTACATTGAACCAATGACACCTGCAAGATGGCAATTCAGGTAAGACTTTCAAGTGCACAATTAAGTCTTGCATAGTATGTTTTTGTTCACTCTAAAAAATGCTTCTGAGTTGACCATCAACATAATTAATAACCAAGTAAGCACTTTGTTATTTTCTTCATGGAATTCAAGTTTTTATCATGTTTAGTGAATTCAGAATTAATGTACAAAATCAGTTGCAAAGACATGGAATTCCTAAAAAGAATAAAAATGCTCAGTCTTCATCTATCAGGCTTTCCAATAGCTAAAATGTTTCAAGTTTCTTTTTTGAATATCAAGACACTTAGTAATCTTCTTATTAGATGCTAGATAAAATATAAATACAAGTTTTTGCTAACAAAGCAGGAGTAGGAAACAAGACTGAAACTGTCTCATCAACACTTGTTCCTAATAAGATACTTTAGCCACGGCTCATTTCTCTTTTCCATGACCAGTACAGAAGAATGCCTGTAAAAAAAATTACTTTTAATTTTACAAAATATAGATTTTGCAAACCACAATCAGTTGTACGAAATAGGAACTTCTAAGACCAAGTAGTATCTCAGATATGAGGGAAACAAGCTCAAACATAATCTGATTAAGAAATCCTTAGGACAATGGATACAACAAGGAACATACAATTAACATAACTGTTGTAAATAGAAATACTACCCTCACAATAACCATTCTGTGGGGTCTCCAACCAATTTGTAAAAATCAAAACCAATTGTTCACATCCTTTATTTCAAACTTCACATTTTCTTCAAAGTAACAAGGATCAAACCTCCAGATTAAAAACAGATCATGGATTAAGTAGAATGCTTCATAAGCACTCAGCCTAAGATTTGAGTTCATTTTGTCTT